GACACTTAAATGAATCTTTGTGTCTGAAGCACAAAGGGCTCAGTAATTAAATGCAAAAGGTCTAAAAGATATTCATGTAACTTGCGAACTCACCCACTCGCCGTATTTGAAGACACTGCAGCTACAGGGTGTCGGCATTTCAGGTGCTCGTGTATTGCCGTAGTGCTGCCATGAAAGGAGAGTGTGACTTCACACGGTTTTCACTTAACGTGTTTCGCCAATTTGTTTTCGATAAAATGTTCCCAAACGTTGGAAGCCCTGGGTCGTCTTTTTTCGAGCATCCTCCGTGCTTTCTGCCATTATTCATGTGTACTTCTTCTCCGTTTCTGTGAATAATGTTACAATTGGGAGCGATACTGCCCCCACCACTTCCTGCACTGCATGTCTGTACCATCACCATGGAAGAATCAGGGTTAGGCTTTCCAAACAACACATCAGAAGCACTGGATTTCTACATGTCATTGAGGGATGTTATCCGTCCCCAATTGTTTGAGTAGTATTTTGTGTTGTGTCTCTCTGTCTATGTGTAAGTGGGGAGAGGTTCCCTATCCCACCATGTCTGTCGAGAGAGGAGTGGACACTGGCGTGCCCCTCTCTCCAATCATAATCATTTGAATAACATTTTTGTAAACATTTTGTAGTTTTAGAAATACTGTATATAATATAACATTCAATTCTTTACATACACCTTGTAACTTGTATGAAGATTTACATGCCTTTGCAACTTTCTTAACTGACTGAATCTTTCCCTGCAAGTGTTGCAGAGGTACAGTTTCTCACCTGTGTGAGTTGTCATATGATTCCTAAGAATTCAGTAGTAGTATTTTTTGTTACTGAGTGACACATTGTCCATTCAAAATAGTCTATTTGTCATAAATATATTCTTTAATAAGTTCTGATCAGTATAGGTGAGGAATACAGTAAGTAAATGTGTAAACCATTGTTTTTGAATGTATAGCATGACAGTTTGTTGCTGAATGTTGCCTATAGCAGCTTTTAAGGAAATATAAGAAAATGGGAACAATGAAGGCTAATGGTAATTTCATTTATTTAAGTACTTTCCTTGAAAAGTAACTGCTGCTTCAGTTGCTGTGACTTCACACCTGTAGCATGCAGCTATGTATTACTGTAAGACTTTGAGTTGACTTGTCTACCTCTGGGTTTGTCACTGTATAATGTGTTTCAAACTTTTTATTTCATTAATAAAACGTGTAATTACTATACATGTACCCTTACCTTTCTTTTGCTTTACCTTATATGTAGACACAAGCACCTGCATTGTTTTAATCACATCAGAGTTCAGAGTCCCTTCTACTGGCCAAGGCTGGTCAATGTCAGGCCAACGCTTGCTCCTTTTCTCCAATATTTTTGGAATATTCAGGATATTTTTGGAAGAGGATTAGTCTTCTGCACTACATCAACAGGAGTGATTGCTTTTGTAATTTTGGTGTCCATCTTTGATATTACAATGACCCTCTTAGTTCCTCGTATTGTAAGTCAAACTGAAATAGTTAAAAAAAAAAACTATTTAGAAAGCACCGTGTTACCACACTCGAAAACAAAGAAATTTGCCAACCCCAAAGGAGACCAAAGGCTTCTTACTATGAAAGCAAAATCACTTGTTTATCACCTAAACAAACCTTGGCTCCCTATTTGGAGCACTACCCCTTGCTCCACCTCTTAAATTTCCTCAAGAACTTCCAGTATGAACTGGCCGTCAGAGAATGAGCATTGTGTCCAAACCCAGCGCAGTAATGCATAGAATTAACGCACACACAAAAAGTCAGAACCACCTATTTTAAACAAGACTATAGGCCTACGTTCTTTTGAACAGACAAAATTCGCAGCATAATGTGGTCACACACAAACAGACAGAAAGAGAAAAAGAAAAAATCCACACACCAATCAGCCAGCCATTTGAAACTTTATCAGGAGATTTTCTCTTCTCTTCTTTATTCTTTCCACCTGAATGTGTACATACTGTCCTTGCTGGTCTCTCCACTCCTGTTCAGACACAGCAAAGGCTCATATATTTTATCAAATGTATGAATGTCCTTTATTAGGCTCATATGTAACCTGAAACAAAAGGCTCATAGGTTGTTTTTTTTTAAACACTGATGAAGCACTTTAATAATACATCTATTCTATTTATCAATCACACATAAACAAGAACATTTCCAGATCATACACACCGCTACATAAACAAGAACATTACAAAAACCTCTAGACACGGCTAAACCACCGCGCAGCAAACAAAGACACAGGCTGTCCTGCAGCGCACATACACACACACCCCCAAAGACTCCAACAGCACACGCACACACACCCACAGGCTCCAACAGCGCTTAAATTGTATTGCTTCACACTGCATGCTCAATGCAGACTTTTTGTTCCTTTTTCAACGCACCTATTTTTCTCTTTTCACAAAATTCTTATTTTTCATCTTTATTTCATCTTTTCTTATGTTATACTTTTAATTTTTCCAATTCCCCTGGCCAGGGTTATTTCTCTTTTTTTGTTTTTCTACTCAAATTTGACTACTTCTTAAAGCCAACTTTCACTCCAGCAGCTAATTTACACATGTACTACCGTTAAGAAGATACGGGCCCTGTCTCCATTAATCTTGCATGGTTATTTAGCTAACTGTTCTTAGTTACTAATTCCGCTTATACTACCATTACCATACTACCATCTTTACTTTCAACTTTTCTCTTTTCACTATTTGTCTCTTCTTTTCTTTTCTTTTCTTTATTTTACTCCCCTTATTTTTTACATACTTTTTAACTCAATAAACCCCAATTTAGATAGAAAATCACTCCAAACATCAACACATCATCGCATCTTTAACAGTGCAGCCAGATAGCAGACACACGACAGCGTCAACGAATCAAACAGCTCCCCAAATGTGTGAAAAAAACCCTCACCCTGAAGCGATGGAGGAATAAACATGCTGAAGCTGTCGGCAGCTTCAGGAGGCCCCAACTGATCCTGTTCGCGACGCCAATATTTGTTGTTTCTCTCTGTCATTGATGATGTGCAGATGATGAAAAAATCTCCGTTGACACTGACTTGCTTGTAGAATAATTGGTTTATTTACAGAGAAGAACAGCATCAATTCAGGCCCCTGGGTCGGCCTTTGAGAGTCACAAAGCCAATAATGATCTCTCTCGATCTCACAAGGACAGTCATATTTATGCAGAAATTACACACACCCCCACATGCGAACATCTGCTTCCTTTGTTCTGGGGGCTCAGAACAGCATACAACTTTTCCATATATGGCAATTCTCTAACACAGAGCCCCAATGCATACATTCCACTGGGGGGGCTCCTATACCGGTCTCAGATACAAACACTTTCCAGATGTTGTTTTGCACAACCTAAGAGGAGTCTATGTCCCAGATATTTCAGACACCTCAGTACCTTCAAACAGGCTGAGCAACACAAGGGTCTGACATAATGATATCCAGGTTGTTTAATGTCTGAAGAAATGTGAATTTCAACCCAAATGATTGGCAGTAAAGATCTGTTCCCCCTCCTCCTATTCCTCTACTTTACATACCTTTTTAATAGGTTTGTACTGATGTTCTACATGAAAATATATAAAAATGAGCGGATTCAGGGTGAAAACAAAGCCATCTATTTCTCATTGAAATGTCTCACCATTTTTTCACAAATACAAAATGCACTCAATGCTAATTTACAATAATATATTTGATCTCTTCTCAAAAATTGACTGACTAAATCCTTGCTTTTGTAACAATCATTATTCCTTTTACCCCTGTCTGTGTGCAGATCAGTACAAGCTGTGTGTCAACAGGGGGTGCTGCCCCCACAGTGTGTTTACTGAGTAGGTAGTAGTGTGATTTTTGGACAAAGATGCATACAGTTCACTTCATTCTGCAACATTTACCTGTAATCTGATTTGTTTTTAATCTGATTTGGTCTTAAAGAATTGACTTTAACCTTGACTAGAAGGGCGAAAGTAAATGTTTTTTCAAGTAAATAAACATGTGTGGGCTGGTTCTTAGCAGTGATGATGTGTTACAACACATTATGGTCTAAAACACAACATTTGGAGAGCTGACAAAAGTACTTACAGTCTTTCTTTGAGTATAAGTACGTATCTTTGTGTTAAGGAAGACTATTGTAAAAGCAGAAGTACTGATTCTACTTATAAAATACAGGCTTTAAAATCCTCTCATTATTACAGAAAAAAGTTTCTCTTTGAGAGACATTTCTGTATCTTTGCAAAGTTAACAGACCCTCATCTTATATTAGGAGACTATCAAACAAAAAAAATCACCTTCAACTAAACCACAACAAACAAACGTGGGGGATCATTGCCATTTTATCTGCAAGTTAGAATTGACTTTTTGTGAGGGGGGAGGACCTAAAAAGGGCATCAGAGTCTACAGCTGGCTCAGCAAAATAGGTCATCATTGCAACATATCAGCGCCCGTCGATACGATACGGTGGAGACTCATCGTTTTTTTTCCAGAAATTTCAGGAGTGCATGTGTGAAAATGACTTAAGATGACTGTGATGGCAAATAATCCAAACACAAATCTAGCTGTAATTGTAGTCACAGGAATATTTTATGATCTGTGGCTAAATGTCTGATGGGAAAAGGTGTCATACTTTGAAAAGACTTTAGAAAGACTGAAGTCCAACACCTTCTCCCATCAGACATTTGAAAGGGTCAATTGTATTAATTTTACGCCCAGAAAACATAATGTATAATATAAGTTTAATAAAGTTACAGATTTACTTAAGTATACAATTGTTTCATAATAATTATGAAGTAAGTTTCAATAGGTGGGTACAATTTATGATGCATGAGTGTGGGTAAAATGGTTGACGGAAAGCGGTCCCTGAAAGGCAGTACATTTGCATATGTCCCCAAAATAACCCAAAACGTGTGTTTGTGTGTAATGGGTGAACAAGGGCGGGGCTTAGACTATTTAACTGAAGAGACAGTGATGTTCACTTCATACAGTCATGGGCCATCCTGGGATTTGGAGGTGGACCCTGTTTGTCTGCCTGAGCTGGATGTTTGTGCAGGCGGCAGCAGAACCGTAAGTTAGTTGAACTGTGAAAATAATGTGTGTATTAGCTCTGACTTTTCTAGAGGACGAAGGAGTAAAGAGCAGTTGAAGATGCGGAAAAGTGTCAGTGGAGAGATGGTGACCTAAATATCATTTGATAAGTATACTTGATTATATTTTGCTATAGCTTGATGGATATTGCTCATATCAAAAAGTGATTATAAAAAATTACAAAGTTAAGTATTTGGACCACTTAAACATACATTTAGACCATAGGAAAAGGTGTGCATTAAATATTTGTCCTAACTGTTAAATCTAGTTTACAACAGCACATTCAGCATTCTTTGCAGTCTTGTCCTTGTGTTGTATCTCAGGTCAATTTAATAAAAAGAAGGAAAAAAGTTTGATCGGATTGGATCTTGTTTGATTGGATTGAATGTAAACCTGTAAAACTAGAGCACATTTAAAATTATTAATAGGTAGTGTTCTTGTTATATTGCAAGTTGTTTTGATAGAAGCCTTTGCATGTTCTTTTGGAGTCAGTCATCTCACCCCAGCAAAGACTTTGCACATTTCTGCCTGATGGATTGTAAACACTGTATATAAAGATGGATCTCAAAAACTGAAGCCAAAACACCCCCACCCGAGAACCAGAGTCTGTGCAGTTGAGATCAGCTGGTGGAATCTCTGTATTGATTTCTCGCCTCTTCCTCTAACGAAATCACACATTTCATTTACCCATAAAACGTCAAAGGTCCCTCAGGTGAGCACAGTAGACAGCTTGAAGCAGACACTCACAGTTATGAAAAGTTCAATGAGTCTTGAGCTCGTGTTTGTTACATTTTCTCTCACCGTTCCTCCTCTATTATGATAATCCAGTGCACACAGCAATGTAGGAGCCTCATAGGTCAACAGAGCTGTCAGTCATGGCTTTATACTAAAAAAACTAAACTTTTCAGAAAAAGAAACACATATAACAGCATGATAAGATCTACAGTAGGAGATAAACAGCGACCGCCTACTTTTTTGGTGGCTCTGGTTCCAGAAGTTAATTTCCCCATTCAAATCCACAAAATTCTTATATCAAGAGATTGGTGCCTGGAACCAAGACAGCCAGCTACCCCAATACTTGTGACTCTAGTACATTTAATTCGGCACCAAAACGGCATTAAAAAACGGAAAAAAGGTAAAGGATAAGACCGTGTACATAATTTTCGTCCGGAGTCAAGGAACTACCTATCCCACAATCCATTGTCAATGATATAGTTTCTTCTTAAAAGTAACTTTTGTCGTTGTTATCGTGTTTATACTGTCAATGCAAGTGTTGTACTAGCTCTTTGTTTGTTTTGTGGAGAATATAAACTACATAAACTGCGGCATGACGAGGTTATTAGTACATTTCGTGTTAGCTAACTAACTAACTAGCCGGCTAGTGAAACTTAGCTGTTGGCATTCGGAGCAGAGGAGCGGGAAACATTGCCATGGTAACAGCAAGCTCAACCAATCAGAAACACTATGGTAGTTTAATTCTTTGGCGTGCACCTTTTACTGTGTTTAACTGTCTAGAGTGCTCCTCGTTTGCTGTTTTTAGTGTAGTTCTTTGCCCCCGTATTGCGAATAAATCTTGGTTTTCTTAAAACGAGGTTAATATGGAAGTTGGAACCTGTGTCTCCTACAGGAGCATATACCATCGTTCTACACTCGGGTAACTCGTGGTCAGTCTACCTTGGATGGTTATGACAGAATGGCTAATAATCAAATCCACTATAGAGAAAATGAATGGGATTTTTACTTCTGGCACAACAGTTTTTAGCTCTATGATAGAAATATTTGACAAGTATTTTGATCTTCAATGCGCTTTCTGTTAACATGGAAGAGGCGGAGCTTGTGGCCTATAATGCAGCCAGTCAGTAGGGGGAGCTCTAAATGTTTTGGCTTCACTTTTGGGGAACTATCATGTTGATCTTTTTATACAGTCTATGGACGTATCACAAATATGTCTTTAATTTTGTCTTTTTTTTTAGAATGTGTATTTCTTTTAGATTTTTGTATTTTCATAGTGTTGTTGTTCAGCTACTTCTACAGAGAAGAAATTAGCAGCTAGCAGAGCGTTGCTTGCAGAATTTCATTTAAGTTCTCCGGTCTTGTATTTGAGTACAATCTTGTTGTTGTAGTTCCTTCTTTTTAAGAGTCTGTGGGTAATCTGTACATTGTATTTTTCTGTTGCTGCAGGCAGTACCTGGTAGCCGTACCTTCAGAGTTAGAAGCCGGGGCTGAGACCCAATTCTGTCTGAGTCTCCTGCAGCCCAACGAGCCTCTGCTCATCACCGTCACGCTGACCTCCGAAGAAGAGGAGACAATCCTTCTAAAGACGATATCCAGCGTGGAATTACATGAATGCTATACGTTCCAGGTCAACTCTTCAACTTCTTTCAGTACGCTTGCATACACAGTTTAGTCAAGCTATGGTTACAGCTTAGGTCATTTAATTGGACTACTGTCCTTGTCCCAGTACACTGGGGGAGAATCAATTTGTTGTGGGAAGTATGTCCTACTTTATAAATCCCCCTTTAAGATTAAGGTTACTATTGGACCTTCTTCCGGTCGACCTATTAGGTCACATATAATCGACAAATACTCAAATACTCAAGCAGAAAAATGGTTTCTGAAAACATGGACAGCTTTACAGCTCTATACATTTCAACTGAAAACTGTGTTTCCTCATCTGTCCAAAAGACTCAAAGACATTTTTAAGAAACCTAAATTCTTGTCAAGGGTTTACACCATTTTTATTTATGCATAAGCTCCATAGAAACTGATGTACGTCATTGTTTCCTTTGATTCACTTTTCTGGTGTCTTTATTTCCGCCACAGGCTCCTTTAGTGAAGAATTATAAACTTCACAATTTCAAGGTGAAGGTTGAAGGCGATGAATTCCTCTCGGAAGAAGTCAGGATGGTATGGGTCAAAGACAACGGACAGATGACGTACGTCCAAACAGATAAACCGCTCTACCTACCAGGACAAACAGGTAACAAGAGCCCGACAGAGGGGATCTGTGGGGAGGGGAGCAACATGATGATAACTCTGTTTATTTATAAAGCACCTTTAAAAACAAGAGTTTACAAAGTGATTTGATAACATAGCCAAGCAATTCACATAAATCATGAAAGCAAGCCAATATCAAAATAAGACGATGACATGGATGGATGTTGAAGTCAAATCTTTGTGTATTACATTTAGCTAATAAGCAGAGCTCAAATACAAATACCATCAATTATGCTCTCTCTCTCACACACACACTCATAACATCCCCAACACACACCAGGTACCACATATTCCCTGTCAGCTGGAAGTCTGCAGATATTTCCAGCCAATATTTCGTTCATATATTTTGCGATAAGAGGGGGAGACCCATTAAACAGACATGCCTGCAGTATTTAACAGCCCTGGATTTGGGGAATAACCTAATGGCTCTGCTCTGTGCGAGTGTGTGCAGTCGTTTGTCCAACATTTTAAACATGACAGAAATTCATCCGACCATTCAGTAGCAGCAGATCAGGCTGTGGTTGGCCCTTTTCCCCCCCTGTACCCCTCACAGCAAACGACGACATTGAGCTGAAATTCAGTCCGACTTAGAAATCAGCTGTGTGACTCAAATATTGGGTCAGAAAGGGCCTCAGTTTTGCAGAGTATATGCCTTACCCAAGGAAAACACAAAACTGTGAAGGCAACAAAATGTATGCTGTAAAACAGCATACATTAATGTCTGTGGCCAGTTAGCCTGTGTCGTGTGCTTTGATTGTTTTTTCCCCTTTTGCATTCTCTTCAGTGCATTTCAGAGTCTTCACTCTGGACCACAAGTTCAGACCTGCTGATGAGCTGGTGAGTGTTTGAACTGTCTGGTCTTTGCGTTCTTTTGGACCTGATTTCATTCAAACAGAGAGTACCGTGTAATAGTGAGTCACTGCACAACTTGGCACCAGGTTACAGAGAGCAAAGTGAAAGCTTTACAACAGTGTCACTACACAAATGTTTCATCAGTCTGTTGGATAACGACCACTTTTAGATCTGAGCTGGGTCAATTGTTAAATCAGTAAACATGCAAGTGGTGAAGGTCCTTTTATATATTTGCAGATGCTCTGACCTACTTACTCCCACACTATGTTTAGCGGCAGAGAATCCAATTTAAAGCTGCAGAAACCTTTATATAAAGAGAACATCAGAGACATGAATCTTGTTTTTGGAACCATCTTTGGAAGTTTAACTTTTTGTTCAACATTTATACTAATACACTTTTGACTGTATTCTGATATTTTGACTCTATTTTTACAAAGTTCAACAGTCTCTTTCCCCTTATCTGGACTCAATTTTCTAAAAGAAAAAGCCTTTTATTATTTCTCATATCTAGCTTTAATGCTGTTTTGTACATTAATCGGATTATGAGGTTTGTTTTTTTATGATGAATCTTGAAAAAGCAGTGTGACTGCAGTGACTGATTGTAGAGGTGAAACCCAAAGTAGCTCATCTTTATCACCAAACAAGTGTCTAAAATCATGAAAACAAGAATGGGACTCGTTATTAATGCTAACTGTGTTGTTGTACAGCATTTAAAAATCCAGTTTAGACCTTGAAATGTTCAATTTTTTTTTGGTTCAGTGTAATTAAAATGCACATCCATGAAGAATTGTATTTGGGGCGGCTGTTCTGGGGGTGAATTATTTTTTTGTTGGTAAATTTACTCTTTACATTTTTTTTACAGTACAATACCATCGAAATAATGGTAAGATGAAATTAAGCTCACTGTATCCTTTTTTGTTTTTACATGCAGGACAACGGATTTAAAATCCATAATAAATAGTGACTGTAACTACTAACCACCAGTGAATAAATCCTCTTTCCTTTAAATGTATTGAACAGGATTCAAAGCATAACCGGCTCAGGCAGTGGATGAACACAACGTCTAATGGAAAAATATTGCAGCTGTCTTACTCCTTGAACTCTGAGGCTTGTGAAGGAGAATGGAAAGTTCAAGTTGGGATAGGTGAAAGAAAGATATATCACATATTCAAGGTGGAGAAATATGGTAAGTAACACCAGCTACGCAGGCAAATAACAGCACCATTTTTAGATCAACAGAGGATGCTTAAAAAACATTCTTTGTTTTCAGTTTTGCCAAAATTTGATGTAAAAATAAAAGCGTCCAATGAAATATGTGTTGGACAGGAGGAAATCGAAGTGGAAGTCTGTGCAAAGTGAGTAAGACACACTTCTACTTGTCACATGGGATTTAAAAAATGGGGGAAACTTTCTTGACAACGCACCAATTTCACTCAAACTTCCCATCCAATCAGATACACTTATGGACCACCCGTGCCAGGAAGTGTTTCGTTTAAGACGTGCCGACCTCTGAAATCACTCGTTAAACTTGATATCACAGAGCCGTGCTACAAGGAGACAAAGAAGGTGCTGTTACAGCTTCACAAAAAAAAAAAAAAAGAAGAAAAAAAAAAACATGACGGAAACATTTTTATTCTGAAATCAACACGTGTTTTGGTTACATCAGTCAGTTCAATGGGTAAATGATCATTCTTGGCAATAGCAGCAACTCTATGTTTTAACGTGCATATTTTGGTTGTATAGACAGAACAGAACGGCTGTGCCAGGTTTAATTTCGACATGTCAACCTTCACAAAACTGGACCCAAAGGCATTGTGGGATAGACTGTTAATCAACGCTGTAGTGAAAGAGGAGGGAACAGGTAAGCTCCGTTATCGTATTTTCAGAACCATATGGCATTATATTGTTGTTAGATGACTTCCTTTTGTTGCAGGTATTGAACAATCACAGGGGACAATGAGGGAACTTTCTTATGTGGTTGGAAAGTTGTTCTTTATTGACACACCCAGGTTTTATGATAAAGGATCAATTGTGGAAGGAAAAGTAAGAAAATAATAATAATAATTATTTTTCAATTTTCGTTTTGATGAATACAGAACAATTGTGCATACTTCTGCATTTTAAGAAATACATGTTTTGTCTTACTTCAGGTTAAAATGGTTACCTTCAAAAATGAACCTGTTCCGGACATGCCGGTCTATTTGTTGCATGATCGGTGGGGGATACATCTGCTACAGAACCTCATGACTGACAGCAATGGTATCGCCCCTTTCACACTAAATATGACCAACTTTGAGAACAACGTCTTTCTCAAAGTAAGTGTAAAAAAAACAACAAGGAAAATATAGTGTTAAAATCTGAAATCGTCGTAAAGTTTTGAAGTTTGGTTCTTTGAAAATCATGACGCTATTTACATTTTGTTTGGGTCTCTGTTTGGGATAGAAAGAGCCATCAGCTATGAAGCAGGCTGTAATGGCTAATATCTTTCTTTAAGGGCAAGCGTCTCAGCTCAAAGTTCGCCTGTTTTTGCTGCTGACAGGCTGAGATTAAACTTTCGAAAAAGTTGACAGAAAGGATGGCTACCAAAATGGTAGAGCTCAAACCATATTCTAGTTTTGTTGTTGTGATTTTTTTTGGGGCTTTTTGTGCCTTTAATGAAGAGATAGGACCTTGGATAGAGTTGGAAATCAGGAAGAGAGAGTGGAGAATGACATGTGGGAAAGGGGCCACAGGTGGGATTTGAACCTGGGTTGCCTGCTTGGAGGACTATAACCACTGCCCCACCAGCGCCCCTTGCTGTTGTGATTTTGACACCGAAAGATTAAAATCCAGAGAAACAAGAGGCCATCATCCAAGGACAAACAACTTCACAACACATTAGCTGCCGTTAGATTGCTGAAAATGTCTGGGTTTAAAAGGCGACATAATGCAAACCTCTGAAAGCCCCAAAAGACTCAGGTATGAAAAATAATGGTGCCAATGCCATTGGTCAAAAGTCAGTGGCCTGTGGGCTGAATGATTTACGTCCAAGTGATGAGCACATCAAGAGGGGGTGTCATGACACCTGTCAATCATTTACACTACAGAAGTGAATGGAAGACGATGCTGCAGGATAGTGGCTGCCATATGAATGTGGTGATTTCCTAGTTTAAAACTCTTATTTAACAAAGTACTTATTAAACTATTTGAATTGCTAAGCATTAGCCACGATAGCTTACTCCAACCATTGTTACTTACTAATATCACTTCTTCTTTACTACCCAGGCTAGCCTGAATGAAGACCCAGAGCAATACAGTCGCTTCAAAGGTCCACACTATGAGACTGGAAATCAACAACTTTCCTTGGTGTTGCCGTCTTCTCCTGATACTAAATCATCCAGCTCTCTGAAAGTGAAGACAAAGAACGACCAGCTTCCCTGTGACAAAGAGGACTACTTTTCCATCCTCTACACTTTTGTGGGAGATACCCGAAGTGCAGTGGATGTGATGTATCTGGTGAGTGGTGGTCAAATATGTGAAACTGTAAAAGCTTGGCCTGTGGCCTGTTGCAGCAGCTCTGTATACTGTAAGTTGTGTCTTAAGTTATGGTATGAAGTCCAAACTAAACCCTGTGTGTTTCAGGAGATAATGAAGCACATCATGTGTGAAATCAATGTCATGTAGGCGTCACTCATTAATTGTTTGCACCACAGGGACGTCAGATTTATCTTAACTTGTAAAGCGTTACATCCAAACTAACTGAAATATGTTTTAACTTCATGTGACCAATCAGTGAAAAGCATTTTTCTTATTTCAGTGCTCCCAGTTCTGCTCCCAGTTTATCTTATATACCTCATACTGAAATACAGACCACATTAAGGTTAATGTCAAACTTTTAGTGCATTGATTGGGACACTCACATATTGATTAATTGTTTTGGTGTCAGAAAAGCTAGATGCTAAAGGCTTATTTACCATTTTAACGAGATTCTATTAAATTCTCTAGGTGTTATCCAGAGGAAACATTGCCATGCAAGGACATCAAAAGGTGGAAGTGCAAAATGAACCCGGTGGGTAAAGATGGCTTTGAAAATGTACAAATGAGAATCCTTTTCATGATTAATCAGACATTGAAATACCATTCCATTCTCCAATTTAAGAATAAATATAAAACAGATTTCTATTTCTTGGTGAATAACAGGGGAGACAATGGGAAGACAGAAGCAAATGAACTCAGATTAGATCAATAAATATTCAATTGTAGTGCAAGGATAATTGATTGTTATGTATTTTGGTTTAGGAGGTTACTTATAATGGATTTGTTTTGGGTTGATGCATCATAAAAATGGTCTCTTCTGTTTCAGTGACTGATGGGAAGATCATCTTTACATTGAAAGTGACTCCAGATTTAGCACCAGAGTTCCAGGTTGTAGCTTACGCCGTCCTCCCCAATGAGATTGTTATCGCCGACAGTGCTATCTTCCAAACCGAGAAATGCTTCAGCCACAAGGTCAGAGTGGAAAAATAAACGGGTCTGGAATTTATTTGAGCTTCACAAAATGATATAAGTATGTTCAGAATTCGGTCTAATACACGTTGTGAATCACAAGTGACAAGAAAATGAACCTTTTATTTCAATTGTGCAACATTGTACACACAAATATAGCAGAAATCAAGTATATGCTCTGTACATGTCTCTCTGAGTCATGACTGTCGACAATGAGTCAGAAGCGTGAGTCCCGCTAGCTGTGTTGTTGTCAGAACCGTGTTTACATCATGATATGGACGGGACGGCCAATTAGAAAGAAGAAAGATTAACATAGCCTACTCATTGCTTCTTTGGATGTCACGCAAGCGTTTTTAGATCATTAGGTCATTCTGTGTCAATTTACATGCAATGTGAAGCTACGCAATATCTAATACGTGCTAACATTAGCCTGCTATCAAAAACATGCAGGCCAGAGATAATTGCAGCTCTAGCCAAGGACAATTTTGTCCACCGTTTGCCCTTGACTCCTTCGTGCAAATGCCAGGGAAGGTGGTTCTAGGTATGTTGCTGGAGGAGAGAGGCCAAACTGAAGTTTGTTTTGGTTTCCTGCTGGTGCTCAAGGGTGACATCTACTGGATCAAAAAGTCACACATTCTTCCTTTAAATAGTTTGAGATAAAAAAGCGATGTCGCCATTCAACTGAAACACAGCAGTTAACAATGGTTTTAGCCCGGTTTAAAAAAGGAAAGGCAGTTTAAGCAGACCTCTGAATACATAACTAACTGTGTGTGTGTGTGTGTGTGTGTGTGTGTGTGTGTGTGTGTGTGTGGGTCAGGTATCCTTGGCGTTTTCTCCAACCTCAGCAATACCAGGAGAGGGAACTACCCTTCAGGTGTCGGCCAATCCGGGCTCTCTGTGTGGTGTGAGTGCCGTTGACCAGAGCGTCCTTATCGATAAGCCAGGAAAGACTCTGGATGCAGAGAAGGTTGGCTGTTTTTAGCAACATTGGATTCAATTTTCTATTTTCTGTCGGAAAAAAAACAGAGCAACACACTGCAGTATGTGGGCAAGTATGGTTTACACAAGTAACATAAAAACAAATAAATAGTGGAAAACAAAGACAAAAGAACAGCAGTACTCATCCTAATGTCCAGAAACTTCAATAGAATTAAATAAAAAAATATTAGTACAAGAAATATTACATGAAGTGAAGGAGTTTAAGTATCTCAGGGTCTTAGAATGGACTCTCAGACGGATTGGCTCATCTTCAGCAGTAATGTGGGCGTTGTGGTGAAGAGGGAGCTGAGCCTGAAGGCCTCACCTACGGTCATGAGCTATGTGTAGTGACTAAAAGAATAAGATCGCAGATTCAAGCGTCTGAAATGAGATACCTACAGAGGATGGCTGTACTCAGCCTTAGCGATAGAGTAAGGAGCTCAGACATTCGGGGGGAGATCGGAGTATAACCGCTACTCCTTTGCATTGAAAGGAGCCAGTTGAGGTGGTTTGGTCGTCTTATTAGGATGCCTCCTGGACGCCTTTCTTCTGAGGCTTTCTGGGCACGCCCATCTGGGAGGATACCACGGGTAGACCCAGAGTTCGCTGGAGGGATTATATATCCCGTCTAGCCTGGGAACGCCTTGAAATCCCTCAGCTGGAAAACGTTGCTGGGGAGAGGGAAGTCTGAAATATGTACAATACGTGTCTTTTGTGTGTGTTGTTTTTGGCAATTACTCTGGCATTTTAATGACACCTGCCAATCATTCACACTACAGTACTGAATGGAAGAGGCAGCTACATCCCATAAAGAGATACTGCTTGGTTTTTTAGTTTTCTTTCAGTTTGGTTGCTGCTCTAGGTTCCACCAAAGTCTAACTACCAACTGTTGAAAGTTATTTGAAGAATAATTTTCTTTTCTTAAATGTAAGAAAGGGGGAGTTCGCCCTGCTAGTCCATTTATCCTAGCCGTCCTCGCTTCTCAGTTATTAAATGTGAGCATTATATCGTTTTGAGACCATTTGGGATTAACATATTCGTAATATTTATTGTTTATATTTTGTATTTTGTGGTTGTATATGTAAAGGAACTTAATGAATATATGTACATTCTTAAAGCCTTCACTCTAATTTTTTCAGATATTTAAACTTCTGCCTGAGAAAAGAGATTATATTGATGATCCTAAATTATGTATAAATGTGAAACGCACGAGACGGAGCAGTGAAGATGGTGGTCATGAAGTTTTTGTGGTAATTATTTTTGTCGAACATATTTTGCAAATATATTTTTGGCATCAACTTGGCATTGAAAATGAAATAGAATTAGTTGAATTACTAAACTACATGATTCACATTGATTACATCGCAGCGTTGTTCCTCTGATGTCATCTCTTAGAGAGGGAAGCACAAACCCTGAGTTATCAAATAACATGTTGTTAAAAACTCACAAGGACAAATGATTCATAAAAGCTAACATTAGCATTCAACCAATTCTCTGCTTACATTAACCTGACGTGGCTAACATTAGCAGGAAATCTGAATGTATGTTTTCACACTTTGTAAGGGTAATGCTAGCAAGGAAGTTGTTTAATACTAAGCTAGCTTTCTAGCCATTGTCTAATGGTAGCTTAAGGCTTATTAAATATTTGTTATTATAGCTTAAACTATGGCTGTGTATCCCTTTGGATGTTTACTATCAGCTGTCTTATCAGTATCGGTCCTGTACAATGTGATTTGAACCAGCATCCTTCTTGCAGGGAGGCAACAGCGCTAACCACTGCAACCCAAAATAACCATGTAGCCCAAAATAACACCAACTCTTCTATTTCAGTGCTGGAGTAAATGCATTTAATTATTTATTTATTTTTTATGTCATTGTATCTAATTAAGTGTTTTGGCAGGTTAAAAATGTTTCTGCTGGTAAAATCTATTTGGCAAAGATACATTCATAAGATAGGACATGCAGCGCAGGTTCCTATTTTCCACCTGACACAGTTGCAATTTTCTCACACATCGCGCACGTTGTGTAAATAGCAAATGTTCTTGTGCCCATGTTAGCGCCTATGGATGGGTTGGTCTTAAAATGCGGAATGAGAACTGAACCTCTGACTGATTTGATTCATGTTACTCCAAAAACATCTATAAATAATTAAGTGTATTAATCCAACCCCTTTGTGACCTGTGCCTCGCTAAGCGTCTTGATTTTGCGCTGTGTAATAACAAATGTAGTCTGAGACATCCCAAAATCACTTTATACCACATGTTTTGGACAATGTACATTAGAATGCCAAAAAAGGTCTCTAAAACAGCATTTGAGCTTCCCACTCTAAGCTTGGCATCAGAGGAAAACAGCCACCGTGGATATATTGTGGGTGAATGCTGCTCCGTTTTGCACTGACATCACTCTTTGCTGCCTGTTTATCCAGAAATTGGGGCTGAAGATTGTAACAAATATGTTTACCAGGATGCCTTCATGTTTGAACTTCAAGGAGACAATATACGATGAAAACGGTGGTGAGATGGCTTTTTTTATTTGACTAGAAATTTAAACATCCTGACAAGCTGTACAAGCATTAGTTTAGGGAAGTTCAAATGACAAGTTTGACCTCTGACTTGGGTTAAAAGTTCTTCTGTCCTCAGGGAATTCTTTCTTAATCGATCGCAGTGGAATTGATTCTCTGTGGCCCTCTGTGGTAATCAAGTCGATCCGCACTTTCTTCCCTGAAACTTGGATATGGAAACTGGTGGAAGTTGGGTGAGTTTCTGTTAAAGCGTTTTCATTTGACAATCGTGTTTTTTTAAAATTAAGGGTATTTAATTAAAAAATGTAAATACATTTTAATCTAATTTTTAAAGGTGAATGTATATGTCAATGAAATATCTTTTCTTATGTCTGCTCATAAACTTTGTGAGAAGTGGATGTAGCTACTTTTACACAACTGCTTGATTAATTACCTGAACTTTGGAAGTGAACTGTGTCTCATTTTGGGGCTAGCATCCTTCGAGGACCTAGCCCATGATGGTCCCGACCTTTTGTAGCCTGTGTACAGCTCAGTATGACCTAAAACAGACGGTCTGGTCTACAGAAGATTTCCTGTTTGCGTGACCAGCTGTCCCCGCACTACCCTTTCAATACTAAGCGCCGACCTTGATGCCTAGCAACCTCAACAGCTGCAGCTCAACTAGCAAACATAACGAAGGTCACTTTACCAAACCTAACCTATTATCTAAAGATATTCAAGTTTCAATGCCCCTTTTGTAGGAAGCAACACCCTAAAGCATTCTCAGCTTAAGCATCTATTTGACTTTAAATTGGCCCATTATTTACAAAATTAACTTCATGCTATTTTGAAGAAGACTTGAAAGTTGCGATCAAAACCCTTAAACTAATTAGGACATTTATTGAGATAATAAATTCAAGGCACAAAATGTAGAATTTTATTAGAATTGGACACTCAAATATCCAAATAGATTAAAAATGGACTTATCAAAGCCAGAGAAATTCGTAATTTAATAGTTGTAGCCGGACGTGTCTTGTCACGGCGACAGCCATGTCAGAGCCATCACGACAGACACAACATGTTTGTCGTTGACGTGGAAACACCGGATAGTAAGTCAGATACAGCTACATAGAGAAGCGGGACCGGCTACCGAAAGTTGCCGTATTGTTGCTGTATGCTGTGCTGCTGTGAGAAAAACGTCATGTAAATAAATCATGCTTGGATTCACATGATGTGTATATTCTCGTTCTAAGTTTTTATATTTTTAGTGCTTATTTACTTTGTATTTAATATTATATTGTTTATATTTGCTAATATTGTGTGTTTGGATAACCTGCTGCTGTAACGCCACAATTTCCCAGTTTGGGATCAATAAAGTATTCTATTCTATTAGCTCGTCAGTAAACCTATTCTCTTCCTTGTGTCTGTTTTTCCCGTTCGTCTTGACTGCGGTCCACTCAGAGTTCGTTTTAATGTTTTGATATAATTAGACCAGTGGAGTCATCCCCTGCTGTACCTTAGAAATAATGTGGGTTTGAGTAACTGGCTGTAATTTAGAAGAGGCTACAGCCACTTGTTCTGAAGAGGAATGTTAAGATGGCAAATTAATTGAAAATAAAGACTTAATGTATAGCAGATTATGAAAAAATGGCTCTACTTCTTAACTGATTTAAAAACCTCAGTAAACATTCACTAATGAGTTTATGGTCCCCATCTGTAGTTTTGAGTTTTCTCATGCATCATGATGTTCAATTTCCAATTTGTGATCCCATTTACAGTCATATTTTGAGAGATCAGGGTATGCTTTAGTAGGTGGCTGCCTGTGATGTGACTGGACTCTAAGGGGAGGCTGAAGCACATCTCCACACAAAGAAATACACCGTCTTTGTTTCCTTTTGCTTCTCTGATGTTTGATATTTGTCCTTTACCCTTAGATATAATTTTTTGTTAACTAAACCTGACTACAAACAGAGCAGGACTGATAACCATTTATAGCAATATTCAGATTTATTTTTTCCAGGAAGAAAACTCTTAAACATGAACCAATCATTGTTGTATCTCTAAAGTTCAAACAAGAAATATATAGCAAGACTTTCAATTTCAGAGGATTTACCAAGTTTAATTTAAAATCTGGATCTCATGTTCCTCTATCTTACACCATGTATCTGTGTGTCTCTGCTCGTCCAGAGAGTCTGGATCGACAGATTTGTCGCTCACTGTCCCGGACACCATCACCACCTGGGAGACGGAGGCTTTCTGTTTGTCCCCTCAGGGATTCGGCTTGGCTCCGAGAGAGACGCTCACAGTCTTCCAGCCTTTCTTCCTAGAGCTTGACCTGCCTTACTCCATCATCCGAGGGGAGCAGTTTGATCTGAAGGCAACTGTCTTCAACTACCTGTCCAGCTGCATCATGGTAATCCATGTGTCATGATTTGGTCTTCAGATTTAGTTTTGTAGTTCTCCTCAGTGTTTCTTGTATTGTATTCCTGCCTCTGTGTATTTCCCAGTGTTGATTGCCCTGATTGTCCTCACCTGTGTCTTGTTAGTCTCACCTGTGTCTATTTAGTCTCTGTGTTTCTTCCCCTCTGTGTCAGTTCATTGTCGTATATTGTATGTCAGTTACTCGTGGCTCCTTGTTTTCTCCTGTTGGATCTTGAAGTAAGTTTTTGTTTGCCTTTTTGTTTATAGAATAAATAGTTTTGGTTAATTCTGCATCTGGGTCCTCTTAGTTTCATGAACCTTGACAGAATGAACTGACCATACCATGGACCCAGCAGGATTATTTTCTTTGGAATTGCGTGAGGTTACTTATAACCTCACATGCCTAAAAAATGACTTAAAATATGCTTGCTGTAGCAAGGAAAGACTGGCAGCCATTTCCACGGCTCAAGAGGAAATTCTTTCAAGACCATGGCTCAAACACTTACTCCCTGAGTGGACTCGAGACTTTTTCTCTACACCTGCTTCACAGTCCTATACCTCTGAGCCTGTTCGTCCTCAGCTCGGGCTCCTGTTTCTGTTCCCGCAGAGCGCTGTCTGCCCCATGTTCCTGTTCCGCAGAGCGCTGTCTGTCCCCTGTGCCTGTGTATGCTGAACCGCGTCTGTCCCCTTTCTCCTTTCCGGCAGAGCGCCGTCTGACTCCCCTGTCTCCGTGGGAGGCCCTGCCCACTCCTATCACTCCCCTGTCTCCGTGGGAGGCCCTGCCCACTCCTATCACTCCTATGTCTCCGTGGGAGGCCCTGCCCACTCCTATCACTCCCCTGTCTCCGTGGGAGGCCCTGCCCACTCCTATCACTCCTATGTCTCTGTGGGAGGCCCTGCCCACTCCTATCACTCCTATGTCTCTGTGGGAGGCCCTGCCGACTCTTGCTCCCTCGTCGGAGGTTATATCAACTCCGCCCACTACTGTGTCTTCGTGGGAGGCCCGGCCTATCACTGGTCCGGAGTCGTCTGAACTGAACTGATATCAGTGTTTGGTCGGCCTCCTGGCCGTCCACCTGAACTTTCCGGGCTATGTGCCCTGCCTCCAGGCCGTCCACCTGTGTCTTGTTAGTCTCACCTGTGTCTGATTACCCTGTGTCTATTTAGTCTCTGTGTTTCTTCCCCTCTGTGTCAGTTCATTGTCGTATGTTGTATGTCAGTTACTCGTGGCTCCTTGTTTTCTCCTGTTGGATTTTGAAGTAAGTTTTTGTTTATAGAATAAATAGTTTTGGTCAATTCTACATCTGGGTCCTCCTCTTAGTTTTTTCGAACCTTGACACCATGCTTTTACGCTCATGATGACAGAAGATAATCACTTATCTTTAACCCTTTAAAGGTCCCATATTATGCTTTTTCTGGTTGTATATGCTCTTTAGTGTGTTTTCCAAGTGTCCTGTGCATGTTTAGGCACATCTATGTGCAAATATTCAAAGTCTGCGGAAACGCGGCTTCTCCTACGTCCTCCTGTTAGCTGTAGCATTGGCTGCATGTAACACTCGGTTCTAGCCCCCCTCCATAAAGATTCGTCAGTGCGGCGTCATTGTCAGTGTGAGATCACTGATCTAAGTTCATTGGCTCGTTGTGGTAAGCCCTGAAGCTCATGTTGAAATTTCCGAGACGCGTGCTGAGCAACTGACCAATCAGAGCAGACTTGGCCCACGTGGGGTCTAACAGTGTGGGCACAGCAGAGCGTAGCTGACAGACTGCTTCCAACCAGTGTTGCCAAGTCCGCTTATTATAAGTGACTTTGGGCTTGTTTTCTTAGACCTGGTTGCTTGTATCTCTTGTGAGATCTGGCAACACTGCTTCTAACTCTAGAGAATGAGCTGACTAAAATGCTTTATCTGGTAAAATGACTCGTAATACTTACATTTCAGATGATTACAACTGTCTCCTTAGTTCCTGCTGACTTTTTAAAGCAAGAATGTGCGACTTTTTGATCCAGTAGATGTCGTCCTTGAGCACCAGCATGAAACTGATACTGGAGTTTGGACTGGGTCACTAATATAAAAAAAGAGCAGCCAAATCTGATTAGACAAACAATCTTCTGAGTTGTGTGCAGCCACTTTTTTTGTAACATAACAAATTGAACATGTTCCTTTAACAGGTCACTGTGACTCCAGCTGCCTCAACAGATTTCACCCTCACCCCGCTCGTCGATCAACAGTACACATCCTGTCTGTGTGCTACCGAACGCAAAACTTTCAGATGGACCATGTCCCCTTCGGTCTTAGGTATGAGCCTCACATGTACTTTTGTGCATAAAGTTTGTCAAAGATATGAGATGTTTAGACAATAAAACATTTCAGTAACTTTATAAAGTAGACAGCAGTTCAAGTATTTTGTGATTCCCATTTTATGCATATGAAGTCACATAACAAAAATAACTTTCAAGGGCTATCAGAAATATTCTTAAACCCGTGTCTTGGTTTGACATATTTTGGGGTCTTAAGGTTTTGGAATTGTAAATTGGCTTCAGTGGGCAGGTTTAAAACAAAGTGTTATTTCATTCTGCAGGCACATGTCTAAAGTATATCCACTAAAACGTCTTTACCACTGACAGGCTCAGATTGTGATTCTGTTATGGCTTCCACACGTGCAGAAAACTCCTGATTATTTCCAAAAGGAGCTGTATGTGTGAACGCAAACAGCCAAATTTCAGCTGTTCAGACTTCACCCGGAGTTTCTCCTCCCAGATCCCTAGTATTCTTTCCACAGCAAGTCGGAGTGGGCTGATGTGAGAATGCAGCAGGATATTCTCCGGAGAATTCACCTCGAGCCAATGGGACGTGTATATATTGTTACTGCTGCAGCGTGCATAGAGTGTCTGCACGAGACCACTACGATCTCAGTGCTCGTAGTTAAACGGCTGCATTATGTTTTCTGTTCTTCAGTATGTTGTTCTCCGCTCTTTTGTGGATAGTGTGATTACGTTGGACTACACGTAGCATTGATATAAAGGTAAATATTCTCATTATAGCGTCATGTAGCGGACTCTGTTGCTTCAACTGCTACTTCCGCGCTGTTTTTTTTACATCCCATCTTACGGGCGGCTGTGGCTCAGTGGTAGAGTCGTTGCCTCTCACCCGGAAAGTCGAGGGTTTGATTCCCAGCTGGGCAACTTGTCCTTGGGCAAGACACTTAACCCTGAATTGCTCCAGCTGCTTTGGTAATGGTGTATGAATGGGATTAGTTACTTCTGATGGATGATACTACATAGTGACCACTACCATCAGTGTGTGAAAGGTATGAATGGGTGGGTGTGACATGCGGTGTAAAAGCGCTTTGAGTAGTCGGAAGAATAGAAAAGCGCTATAAGCTGAAGTCCATTTACCATAAAACAAAATTTTTTACATTTAAAAACACAGCCTAGGTTTAAAAAAATATAATAAACTACCTTTTAATGTAATGTGATTTAAGTCAATCGTTCCTTCCTCAGTTCAGTACCTCCATGTTTCACCCCACACTACAATGCACTGTACTTATGATGGCAACCACACACAAAGCTATGACACAGTCCCAATAGTAACTAAACCTGTTGTGAATTAATGTTTAGAATTAGTTTTTGTTCTTTTAGGGGTCGTGAACGTGACAATATCCGCTGAGGCGGTGGCCTCCCATGTGTCATGTGACAATGAGATTGTGAGCGTGCCAGACAGAGGTCGTATCGATGTGGTCACACGAACCCTCATAGTGAAGGTGGACATTTTTTTTTGTCTCTCATAAAATAAAAAGTTCTAAGTTTGTTAATTGATCAAATTAAAATGTTTAGGTGCACATTTTAGAGGTATGTTTTTTTTTTCATCTTCTTCCAGGCTGAGGGAACAGAGACGACAAAAACCTTCAACTGGCTGCTCTGTCCAAATGGTCAGTACAGTTCAGATCAGATGTTTTTATCTACAGCTCTGCTAGTGTGAAAGCCAGTTGTGTTCTTTTTGTGACTTTTGTATCTCTCTTTCAATGAGTTTAGTTTCACTGTCTTTCGCGTCCCACTGTATAGCCTTATTCAGAAACATGGATTAACACCTGGCCTAATGCTGCAACCGATCATTTTCACTGAATATTGATCTGCTGTATTTTTGTCTTTTTTGTCCTAAAAATGTATGGAAATTTAGAAATGTCTCTATTTCAAAGACTCAAATGACATCTTTAAAATGCTTCTCTAACCCAACCACTCAGACTTCTCATTTACTGTCAGACATGACAAAGAGAAGCCAAGACCAACAAGTGTTTGACATTTCTGCTAAAAAAATGAACATTTTAAACTTTGATCAATTCTCAGAAGAGTTGGTGGTACTTTTCCATATTCACAATGGATTAATTATTTAATTAATCAATAGACACTACTCTAAACTAGACTGAGAGGAAGCCCATATGTTGTTTGGAAATTGACCATTTTGAACAAAGTTTACTTCTTGGTCTTGATTGCCATCTGAACAAATGACAGACATATCTAACTGACAACATATTATTCTTAATTTCTTTATTAGGGCATTGGACTCTGCAGCAGCTCTTTAAATTGTGTTTGAATTAGTCCAAATCTTTTTTTCCAGGGGAGGCTCTTACAGAAGAAGTAGAGCTGCAGCTTCCTGACAATGTGATCGATGGATCGGCCCGAGCTTCCCTGTCTGTGCTGGGTAAACTGAATTTTAATTATGTAGCCTTTACAAAACAATTCATGGATCAAAAAACACTTTCAATCCTCCTTGAAGCTCAAGAAGATTCAATCGTATGAAGGTGTATGGGATCATTCAGTGGCTGTTGTATTGATATGACCTCCTCAATCCATTGACTGCAAATGTGGACAACACATCTCCACCTCCTCTCATTGGAGAAAAGTGAAACCAAATATCGCTCACCTATTGAGCTGGTGAAATTTTTTAGTCACAGACTGAGCAGTAGAGATCAGCTGGTGACGTTCTAGTATTAACCTCACTCCCTTTCAGCTAATAAAAACACATATTGAACTAACCAATCAAAGGATCAAGGATCTGGGGCGCTGGATGACCTGGTTGCTGCATGTCATACCCCATTCCCTCCTCCCAACACGTCAAGTCTTCCAATAGGATGTGACATGTGGCAAAAGGGCCTAGAGTTGGATCCAAACCTTGGCAACATGCTTGGTGAACTATAGCCTTTTTCCGTGGGGGGCGGCCTAACCGCTAGGCCACTGGTGCACCCTCTCTGTTGATATGTTAAGGTTCATTTAAATTTGAAAGATTGAGCTGGTCTAAGTCAGTGTTTCTGTGCAGGTGACATCATGGGCCGGGCCCTGAAGAACCTGGATGGACTGCTGCAGATGCCGTATGGATGTGGGGAGCAGAACATGGCTCTTCTGGCCCCCAACATCTACATCCTCGAGTACCTGAAGAACACACAGCAGCTGACCTACGCCAACAAGGAAAAGATTGAGAAATTTCTGATGAATGGTAAGAATCTGTTTGTTTTATCTTGCAGGAAAAAAAAGGAAATCCCCAAGATGGAAACGGCATGCATAACACAAACCAAAATACATTTAATTTAAGAAGAACAATGAACTGTTTTTTTGTTTTTTTTAAATATTCTACATGTCTTACATTCACAATTTTCAACAGTATTAACAGCTACTGTATACTGTAGTGGAGAAGGTTCAATGTTTTTAAATACAACAAAATGGAGTCAAAAGTGACACAATGTTTGGAAATATTCAAGTTAAGAAATGGAGAGTTTTTCATACGGATGAACAATCCGGCAATGAGTGAATGAGATGGAGAGGCTTATTTTCTGGCTTGCTGGAGATGGCTAGTAGCTGAGCACACAAGTGAGCATGGTAAGCTAATGAGAAGGGAGTGGTTGGCAGGGTGAGTGGAAATGTAATGCTAGAGAGGTGGGCATTGTTGCAGAATTATGACAATGTGTATCACATTTGGATTTACTTTTTTTAAACTGTTGGTTTATGTGTTATCATTTGGTACAGGCTATCAGAGGCAGCTCAACTACAAGCACTATGATGGTTCTTACAGTGTTTTTGAAGAAGGAAAGCAGAACAGCTGGTGAGAACATAACAGACTCATAATGTCTACCTGTTGACAAACATTCTTCAACTTTAACGTTGAAATAACCAACATTTTTTATTTTTTATTTTTTTTTAAATGGCATTTTTCTCGCATGGCTCAACTCGTATCTTCTTCCTTTCTCTGGTTTTCTATTGACAACAGTATTAGACTTTTGGTACATTTTAGGTATTCCATAAGTTGAGATTCCAATCGAGGTAATATGTGACTTAAATTTTCCTTCTCTCTTATGGTGCTGTTGAGTCTCCATGTGCTTGAATGTTACCTCTGTGTACTCTGGTTCATAAACAAATTGTTGTGTTTTCACAGTAAACAGCGTATCATAATTGCTTTTAAAAAAACCTCATTTTTAGGTTGGTTGTATTTGTTGTCTTTCAAAGCCCACACCCCTGTAGAGATGTTCAGTGGCATAGGAACGCATACTGTATGTGATTTGCCGAAGCGACTTGATGGTGGAAAAGTCATCCGCTGAGATTATATACCCGGATGTTGTTTCTTTCTTAAAATTAGGTACTGTGTATTACTTGGGACAAATGGACCTGTCTGCAGCAATGTAAAGCCTACAGCTTCCAGTATCCCCTTAAAGGGAGTGGCTAATGCATATATACCCCATAGAACCCTATTTCAAAATGACCTAACTATCCCTTTATGGGTTAATGCAAAATAGCAAAGGGACTTATTGATGATTTTGGTTAGTTTTTTTGCAGCTACACTTGACAACTTTAAGTTTTAGAGTGCTGTTTATATTTATGGGATACAAGCTAATCTGGAAAACAAGTTATAAGAAAACATCATAGCATCGAGTCAAGCCGTAGCCTAGCAGGCAGTACAAACTCTGCATCATTGTGACAAGCTCAGCTTTTTAATGAATGTCTGCTCTTATTGAACTCATTCACAGGTTGACTGCTTTCGTGCTGAGATCCTTTGTTAAAGCGAGTTCATTTGTCTTCATTGACACTGAAGTCGTTGAAATGGCCAGGCGTTGGATCGAGAGTAAACAACGAGAAAACGGCTGTTTCAAACAGTCGGGGAAACTCTTTAACAACAAGATGAAGGTCATTTTAAAGTCCTCTGGAGTCTGAATGAAAATGAACAGAATTAGTTATGGTTTTCTTTTTTGAAGTAGGTCCTAATTCTGTGTTCTCCGAAATTTCGGACATTGTCTTTCTTGAATGCCTCCTGATTCTCCTTCTCTACAGGGCGGTGTGTCTGATCAAGTGACTCTCAGTGCTTACATTACTGCGTCCCTCTTGGAGATGAACATAACAGGAACTGTAAGCATGTTTTATATTTGTGTTTCAATCTTTGCAGAGTTTACGGCGTTAGTGCTCCTAGCCTTTGTGAGAACCTCTTAACCTGCGCTGTTTTTTTTCACCATGTGGAAATTTTAAGTCAGCTGATAACAGCACTCATATTTGGTCTCCTTTTATACAACCACACTTCTTTTAGCAAGCAGTGGAGTTGCCCCCTGATGGACTTTTTGAAGGAATTTTAATAAGGCACTTATGCATTGGCTTCACTTGAAAAACAAGAGGATTCATATACTTCGGTGTTGGCTTCACTTCACTTTTATGGTTCTGATTTATGCAAAAACTAAAGAGCTATTATGAGTTAATGAAATTATCTTTCTTTTAAATGTTCCTTGTTTATTTTACAGCCTCTTGTTGTACAAAGAAGCTTGTCCTGCCTCAGGGAGTCCATGGGTAACCTGAGCAACACCTACACCACAGCTCTGCTGGCGTATGTCTTCACCCTGGCAGGAGACATGCAGACCCGCGCTCTCCTTCTGAAACACCTCGGCACAGTGGCTATACAGCAAGGTGAGCCATCAACCTAAAACACGGATCACGACTCAGTCCCTGCAGGAAGTTGGACGTTTGGCTTGAGGAAATGCCTGCAAGGTCATCCATCCCTACAACTTGTTTTGTGACCTTGTATTTTCGGCCAATCATTGCGTTTGCAAAGTAGACCACCCACCCTTTTTCTCCCAAATGCAATTAAAAAGTGTTCTTGCGCCTTTGGATAATATTAAAATACCCACACTCAGTGCAGTATTAGCATTTTGTGTAAATGTAGGTAAATATCACACATTTCATTTGTCTTTAAGACATGACAATCAAATGGAAGTGAGGTAAGAAGACAAACAGTTTGCTCAGCCAACAGTTGGCTTTTATTTGAGATATTGTCCAATTCACTCAAAGTTAATGTGTATTAATAGAGAACAAACCATATGACGTATTTTTGTAGGCCAACCCGGAAGTAGCATCGCCATGGGGTCTAATGAGAATTCGCCTATGGGATTTTTGTATTGGATTTTGGATCATAAGAAAATAAGCTCTGTGGCAAACGCACGTTTCTGAAGCGTAGCCGTTTTGTTCAGCAGGATAATCTTCACAGATTAACACCATTTTTATGATGTTTGAAGCGTTAATGCGGCCGACAGAAGTAAAAAGCTAACGTTATGCTACAAGCGAACTACACCACGGTCGGATGATTGTGACGTCACTAGCGTTATGCTTCAGACGATCTCCGATAAACTAATCCACGTCGCTTGATAAATTGTTTACTAACCTCATATCTGCCTTAACATAAAGATTAAACCTACAGGACACATGTCCGACGAGTGAGAGAGTTCCCAGCCTCTGTGTCCGGCGTGATGACGTTTAATGTCTCCGACAACCACTGTAGTCAACCGCCTTTTTAAAGACGCGTAAGAACTTTAAAATTCACAAGTGGGGGTATTACCTAACGTAGTTTATGTGGTCTAACAAAACGCCAACATCTCTCAAGCTTGTGTTAACCACAGACCTTATTTCAGGCGTCTAACCACAAACCCATTTAAAATCCCTGTTGACTTTTAGACGTTAGACCCCATGGCGCTCAAATGCTAACTTACTTCCGGGTTTTAGGACCCATTCCGGTGGCGCTCTATAGACTGCCGTCAGAAGCAATTAGCAGAAGATTAGTTAGTATCAGAGTTGACAGACAACAGAGTGGGGATTTCCACACAGTATTTTTATAGCATACAATGCCAGGTCTCCACAGTGCTATGTTCACTCCTCATACATGAGCAGTAGTCAGAGACTTCTCAGTCAGAACAAACATATGACTAACAACTTTCTGTCACGAAAACCTAAACAAAACCAAGGCACCGCCTTGTAGTACTACAATGATATTCTGACTGTTACACAACACCACTTGTATTCCAACTTTTCCTGAAGCTGACATAAAATTAAGGATTTTTAGGCCTCATCAATCACAGGAAAATCCAGTTAAATCCCAGGAGTTATCCCTGCCACGTCACAATTAAGGTAACTCACCTTGTCTCTGTGTTGATGCTGTTTGAAGGGGATTTACTTCACTGGTCTCAGAATGAGGAAGATACATCAACCTCTCTGTCTGTGGAAATCAGCTCTTATGTGCTTCTGGCCTTACTCAGTGCATCTCCTTCTGCCGAGGACCTGCGATACTCATCCAGCATCGTCAGATGGCTGACAGGACAGCAGAACCAGTACGGAGGCTTCTCCTCTACCCAGGTACATCCCAAACAGGACAGGCACACCAGCAGATTAACATTTTCCACTCAGGTTATTGTTTATTATGAAAACTCTTTAATCATTTAGATTTTCCCAATTTCGTTTTCAAATGTATCATCAGTTTAAGCCCCAAAGGCTCTTTGCACATAAAGACAAGGCATTAAGGTCAAAATCCACAATACCTCTGCCCAAAAGTACTTCATACTTTCCCCACAGGGGGGGCGCCAACATGAGATGAGTTTCAACTTTATTGTCATTACACATATACAAGTATAGAGTAACGAAATGAAGTTTGGCATCTCACCAGAAGTGTAATAAGCAGAAAGTGCAAGAATCTGTGCTATGTACAGTAATTACAAAATTTACAGATGTAGACAAAAAAGTGAATTATTGGGTATATATGGATATCTGGATTAATGGGATGCTATAAATATACATACATTTTTAGGATTATAATATACAGATTAAGGTGCAGTGAGCATGCTATACTAGTTTACAAATAATATACAGAATATGGACATATTGTACAGGTCGCTAACTTATGAGGTGATATGAACATACTATAATACAGGTGGATGAGAGATGTGTGTATGACCAGAAGGACTGGTGGGGGGATGATGGGTGTGAGGTGATGTGCAGGGGAAGGGGGGTCAGCGGGGGGCGGAGTTCGGGAGGGAGACAGCTCTGGGGAAAAAGCTGTTCCTCAGTCTGCCTGTTCTGGTCCAGAGGCTTCAGAAGCGCCTACCGGAGGGCAGCAGGGCAAACAGTCTGTGGGCAGGGTGGGAGGAGTCTTTAAGGATGCTGTGAGCTCGCCACAGACAGCATTTTTCTTTGGACGTCCTCAATGGCGGGAAGTGGACACCTTGTGATGCGCTGGGCGGTTTTTACCACCCGCTGTAGCGCCTTACGGTCTGAGACAGAGCAGTTTCCGTACCAGACTGTGACACTGCTGGTCAGGATGCTCTCAATCACACAGCGGTAGAAGTTCATCAGTACAGCTGAAGACAGGTGGTGTCTCTTCAGTGTCCTCAGGAAAAAGAGGCATTGATGAGCCTTCTTAACCAGACTGGAGGTGTTAGTGGACCAGGAGAGGTCCTCTGTGATGTGGGTCCCCAGGAACTTGAAGCTGGAGACAGCCATCCCGTTGATGTGAATGGGGTTGTGCGTGCTTCCTCTTTCTCTCCTGAAGTCCACGATCCACACTTTGTCTTACTGGTGTTGAGGAGCAGGTTATTGTCAGCACACCATGCGGCCAGATGCTGTACCTCCTCCCTGTAGGCTGTGTCATCGTTGTTGCTGATGAGGCCAATCACCGCCATATCGTCCGCAAACTTGAGGATGGTGTTGGATCCATGTACAGGTCTGCAGTCATGGGTGAAGAGGGAGTAGAGGAATGGGCTCAGCACACAGCCCTGTGGTACGCCTGTGTTCAGTGTGATGGTGGTGGAGCAGGTGTGTCCTGACCTAACATATAGGGGTCTGTTGGTCAGAAAGTCCATTATCCAGTGACGGAGGGAGGCGTTGAAGCCCAGGTCTCCAAGTTTAGTGTTTAACTTGGAGGGGATGACAAGTGTTGAATGCTGAGCTAAAATCAACAAACAGCATTTGTGCGTATGTGTTTTTATTGTCCAGATGTGTGAGCACAGAGTGCAGCACCGTGGAAACTGCATCCTCTGTACTCCTATTGCTGCGGTAGATAAACTGGTATGGGTCCAGTGTGGGTGGGAGGCAGTTTTTCAGGTGTGCTAGGACCAGTCACTCAAAGCACTTCATTATGATGGGTGTGAGTGCTACAGGGCGGTAGTCATTCAGGCCTGCCGGGCTGGAGTGTTTCGGCACTGGGTTAATGGAGGTGGCTTTGAAGCATGCTGGCACAGCTGCTTGGGCGAGGGACAGGTTGAAGATGTCCGTAAAAACCCCAGTGAGCTGCTCTGCACATGCTCTAAGCACGTGCCCGGGGGTGCCGTCTGGACCAGCAGCCTTTCGAGCGTTGATCCGGCTCAGTGCAGCGTGGACATCTGTGGAGGTGAGTGAGAGGGGCTGGTTGTCTGCAGGAGGTCTGGTCGTGGTCTGCATCTCCCTGTTGTCTCTGTCGAAACGAGCATAAAAGTGATTTAGCTCGTTCAGGAAGGAGACATCTGTGGTTATCGGGGTGGAGTTGCTGGGTTTATAATCACTGATGGCCTGGATGCCCTGCCACATGCATCTGGGGTCGGAGTTGGAGAAGTGATCCTCTACCTTCAGCTTGTAGCAGTGCTTGGTCTTGATGATGCCCCTCCTCAGGTTTGCCCTGGATACGCTGTAGGCCATTGCGTCATCTGATCTGAAGGGGGTGTTGCGGGCCTTCAGCAGGAGCCGCACCTCCTTGTTCATCCATGGCTTCTGATTTGGGTGCGTGGTGATCTGCTTCCATGTTGTAACAGTGTCGATGGTGGTATTGATATAATCCAGCACAGAATAAGTGTAGGTGTCAATGTCTGTGTGAGAGCCCCAGGTAGCCTGAGAGGCAAACATACTCCAGTCTGTGTGATGGAACGTTGTCCTGAAGTACAGACTGAGTTCCCCTGGCCACACTTTAATAGTTGTCACTGATGGCTTCACACGTTGGATGAGTGGGGAGTACTTGGGGATGAGGAACAAAGAAAGGTGGTCTGATTGTCCCAGGTGGGGGAGGGGGTCGTGGTGTAGGCTCCTGCGATGTTTGTGTAAACATGATCCAGAGTTTTGTTTCCTCTTGCATTGCAGGAAATATGCTGGTGAAATTTAGGGAGCACTGTCTTTAAGTTTGAGTGGTTAAAATCACCTGCAACTATAAATGCAGCCTCCGGGTGAGCAGTCTGTTGTTTGCTGATAGCTGTGTAAAGTTCCTTCATAGCAGCTTTTGCATCGGCATCCGAGGGGATGTAGGCTGCAGTTACAATAGTGGAGCTGAGCTCCCTTGGCTGATAGAAAGGTCTGCATTTAACCATGAGAAACTCAAGGTTAGCTGAGCAGTGTCTCCCAACAATGACAGAGTCTGTACACCAAGCTTTGTTAATATAAATGCACAGCCTCCTCCTCTGGTCTTACCAGAGTCCTCTGCTGTTCTGTCTGCCCGGAGTGTGTGGCGACCGGCTAGCTTGAGAGCATCGTCCGGCACTCCGTTGTTTAGCCATGTTTCCGTGAGGATCATGACATTACAGTCCATAAGTCTCTTGCTGTGGATGATGCGGAGTCGTAACTCGTCCATTTTGTTCACCAAGACGACGAAAATGTTGGTTAACGGGAGACGGTGCGGTGTTAGCTTTAGCTTAGCTCTTATCCCTCCGCCTTTGTTTATGGTCTCGACGCCGCCTGCGACCACGTCCGCTCTGCCAGGTAGAGTGCGTAGCCTCGGTGTTTTGGCGATCTCAGGGATGAGTCAAGATTGGTGATTAGATCGTCAGGGAGGTGTAGTCCAATATCCAAAAGTTCCTGTCGGGTGTAGGATGTTAAGGTGGAGCTGTTCTGTATGAACAGACCTGAGATGAACAGGAAAACTACTGCAAAATTGCAAAACTGAGAGAGACGCTGGGCCTCGCGATGCGCTCGCGCTGCCATCGACAACATCCACACAAACTGAAAATTTCTGAAAAGGAGCTTTAAATTAAATATTTTAGATTCAGACAATTGTATGTATCGCAAAGGACATTTTTTACAGTGTACGTACATGTATTCAAACAAACTTCAGACAGGAGTTCGTCAGGGACAACAAATAAATCAGTGAATGGACCCAGTGCACACTAGTACCATTGTGTGGCCCACAATTGCACACACATGAGCCGGGCAAAGATAACAATACACAGTTAAATGTTTAAAACAATGGAAGATAAATAAGGACATTTGAGGATTCACTGCACTTCACATTTTTTGACTATATTCAGAGAATGTATGTTCAGGCTACAGCCATATGACAAAAGTATAAATGACTTGTGGTTAAACACGAGGGCAAAGATAAAATAATGCAATTAAGTTTTAAAAGTCCAAATGACTATCAAGGTTTAAGAGCCTGATGGCAGAAGGAATGAAAGGATTTTAAGAGTTTGTTTTCCTGAGGGGACTTTACAGCGCTGGCCTCAACTCACTGCAGCAGGAAGTGATCATGTTGGGAAATTATTTTGTAATTGATATTAACAACTATTTGGTGAAAATTTTATGGTTAACAAACATGTTTTGTTCAAGCCCTTATTTATACGTCATCGTCTATGTCATGGTAGTGATTCAGTTACTTCGTTAAAAACAAAGTATCAACATCAGTGTGAAAATGCTGTTTTATTTGAACAGCACAAGTTTTAAGACATGTTGCTCCTGTAACCCTGTCTGAATCCATCCTCACCTGGGATCAGTGTTTTTTAGCTAATCCTATTCAAAGTTTTGAACAACACAACACTGCAGGTTTTTAATGATTGAAACTAAGATTGGGTTTCCTGACATAATCTTAAA